ATACTGGTGGATCCCTGCGGACAACAGACCAGGGTGTGAATAGACTTCCTTTCAGACAGAGTGCATTGTAAAGTGGAATATTGCACATATTGCAAATAGTTAAAATAGAACATTTTATCATTTAACCTGACTTTTAACCCATTTTAAATTTTTTCTAGTTTTTAATATTTTATGCTTTCTTTCCAGTTCAGATTTATGTCTGTTTTATTTTGTCATGGTTGTTGGGATTTGTCTTTCTTTTTATGTTTGCTTGTTTTTTCCTGTACATGAAATCCAGGATAGGTAAATCTATAGATACAGTAATTGAATTAACAGTTTCCTAGGAGCATAGCTGAAAGAAAAGCAACCAAGAAAAAACTGCAAGCCTAGAGTTGCAATATTTTACTTGTCTGGCTGAGTTAATCAGATACAAAATAGGCAGACACTCTAAGATAGCGCATGGCGACTTCTCACACGTCCAATGCCCTGAAGGAAGCCTGGGTTATTGCTCAGAACCACCGACGTGACAGATTAACCAGGGCGTCCATCAGCTCACTATCCAGCCAGAGGGCAGCACGCGTGATCCGCACTGAATATCCCACTAGAATGGACCTTTCTAAGTTGGGATACAAAATAATAGAATCCACCATGTCACCCAACCCGTCTATTGATTATTACAATCATATAGATTATACAGAAAAATATGCATTATTTTATAAAGAAGCCATTTTGGTTGTGACTCTCCTGATTTGGAAGAAGAACATAAGGAGGTCAGTATGGTAATCACACAGCAACAACAAACATGAGCAGTACAGCTCAGAGTGTTCTGAGTAGTATCAAAGGGGAACCATATTTATCCAAATGTCTGCATGATACTATGTGTCAGGTTCTCACACATGAACACCCCACTTGTTGACACCTTGACCAAAGAAGAGTCTTGTAAAGAAGAACTATGTAAAAAAAGTGGAGAGAAAGATTGGCACCCCTAATACTGACAGATACATATGTCAACTCCAGGGAAATTGATAACTACAAAACATTGGCCACTACAAGAACATGTGCATATGTTAAAGACATATGCACCCCAATCTAACGAGGTGAAATGAAAATGAAAAATAAAACATATAACCTATAGGTAAGACCAATGTGAGCTTGCTTTCCAGTGAGTCAAAGACTACACCCTAGTCACCAACACTGGTTCTCACTACCAATGCAGTGAATGGCAATTTGCCGGATTCACCTAACAATAGTGATGTACACAAAGGGTACTTAGCTAAGTCTCGAGATAGCAATTGTAGACATTGGAAATGCAATGGCAACAATAGACTCGAAAAATATAAAACACTACCTTCTTAATTCCAGATATCAAACACTCTGGAAATACAACCACCTTTCACTTTATGTCCCTAGTCAAAGGATACATTTAAATAAGAAATAATATGTGGATGAATATTACCTATAAACACCAAGTGATAGCTTTACCATTGAATATAACCATAACCAAATTCCCTAGACACCATGCCCCAAAAGAATGTTATGAAAGGCAATACCAAGGCATGAGTCTATTCAATACAGAGTCTGAGAGTATTACTGCTTCCACAGACATAGCATGGAAAACATGAGCTATCACATGTAATTGTGCAAATCACAGTAATACTATGTTCAATAGTATTAGCAATAGACCTATAATGGCTACATAGAACAAGTGTAGAAAGGGAAATATTCTTAACTGCTAAGATTTGGTTTCCACCTACAAATGGGACACATGACATGAAGTGACACAATGACAATAGAGAACACACAGATAGACTCGATAAACTGTCAATGATGAAATCAATAAAAATATCAATAGTCTAAGCTCATACTCGGCCAACTGAAGGAGTTCAGATTGGTGGAATCATCTATAAAAAGAATAATTTACTGAAAATTTATATATACAGATAGGTTATAAAATTTTCTGATGCTTATATGTGAGGGGGCACCAAAAAAAACCGGATTTTTTTTAAAGCTAAGTATTTAAATTTTTTTTTACAAATCATCTTTATCATCTTCCAAGTACTCGTCATTACACTGAATACATTTGTCAAATCTGTGATTCCATTCTTGGAAATATTTTTCAAACTCATGTTTGGATGTCTGACAGCAGCTCCCTTGTTTTTTGCTTCACCTCTTCTATGTTGTCAAATCACTGTTCATTCATGGAAACAATAAGAAGTTGTACAGAGTGAGGTCAGGTGACTAAGGTGTGTGGGGCAAGAGAGGCATATTGTTTTTTGCCAAAAACTGGCACACTGAGAAGGCTGCATGAGCAGGTGCACTGTTGTGGTGACAAAACTAGTCCCGTCTGACACAAATCAGACTTTTTATGTCGCACACTGTTAGGCAATCTTTTCAGAACCTCTAAATAGAAAGCTTGATTAGCAGTCTGACCTGGTGGAATGAGCTCCAAATGCACTACAACTCGACATTATTGTCCATTTGGGAAGTCGACAGAACGAGGTTTGTCATCAATTGACATTTCACCTTTTTTTTTTTGCCCCAAATAATTTTATTCAGGCTCTTACAGCTCTTATAACATTCCATACATCAATTGTATCAAGCATATTTGTACATATGTTGCCATCATCATTTTCTAAACACTTACTTTCTATTTGAGCACTTGGTGTCAGCCCCTCCTATTTCCCTCCACACCCACTTCCACCCGTGTGACCCCTTGAGGAATTACAAATTACTGTTATTTTCATATCTTACATGGACCACTGTCTCTCTTCACCCATGTTTCTGTTGCTCATCCCCCTGGAGTGGGTGGTGGTGGTGGTGGTTATGCATTGATCACTGTGATCGGTTCCCCCTTCCTCCCCTCCTTTCCTCACCTTCCCCCTACCCTCCCGGTATCACTCCTCCCATTTCTGTTCCTGAGGGGGGTATCTGACCTGGATTCCATGTGTGGTGAGTTCTTCTTTGTACCAGTATACATGCTCCGGTCTAGCCAGAACTGAAAGGCAGGGCTGGGGTCAGGATAGTGTGGGGTGAGGAAGCCTCAAAGAGCCAGAGGAATATTGTGTGTTTCATCAGTGATTTCACCTTTTTTGAAGTGAGAAAACCACTCATACACTTGAGTTTTTCCCATAGCGCTGTTCTTGTAAGCTGTGTTCAACATCACAATGGTTTCTGCAGTATTTTTCCCGAGCAGGAAACAAAATTTCACAGCTACACGCTGTTCTTTTAAATTGGCCATCAACAAAAAAAATGAGGTTTGAACAAAACTGCTTTCATGAAAAAATTCACTGTGATCAGAGAGAAAATTCCTCAGCAAGGTCACTGGGTGCACTAACTCAGAGGAAGTTGCTCTATGCTCGCCTAGTAGGAAAAATGTGTACTATGAAAACTCTACCCAGCAGCGCTTTTTCAGGTGTTTTGGGGGGGTACCCCCTCATATATAGAAAATCAATGGAAATATACCATCTGGACTGGTACTCACCCAATATACATGAATACTACCCTACTAACACATTAATTCCCACCTTATCTAGCTAGAAATAAAAGATTCAAGGAATGTTACATAAAACCTAATAGTCCAGGCCTTGCATCTTTGAATACGTTATGCCTCAGGACATTGTATTACAAACCAGCATTGACTTTAGAACTCATCTTACTTGCACCTGAAATTCTGCAGACACAATCCTACGACCCTCCGCATAATCAACCAGTGCATGTTATACACAATCCCATAGGGTTACATTTACTTTCACCAAATTACAATTTGATGTTTACAAAGTTTTATCTCAATGTAGATTAGTCATAAACACTATGCACACCAGCCAAATATGTCACCACTAGATAGGGAAACCTTTGTGAAGAGCTTTACAATTACTTAAGGAATAAGCACTGGTTGCCAACTTCTTGATAGATGGAATACAGGCATTAGGAATACGGGAAATCAAAGCAGATTTTTTTCCATTTGGAAGCTGCAGCACTAAATTTTAACTCATTACAAGCAAACATGCACCAATTGGCAAGCTTAGTTTCAAAATAATTTTCATAACTGAATACAATATCACATACAAGATGTTAAGCACCATCAGACACAATTTATGAAGGACTTTCAAACTAGGAGTGGTAGATACAAATTGGAGACATTAAGACATTCCTCAATTCATAAACTGAAATGTGCTTGTAAGGATACATGGATGGACTTAAAAATTATTACCTACCCATGGAAAGGGACTGCCTAGGACATGGAATGAGGTGATAAAACTAGATATTGAATCTTCAGCAGGTTGCTTAGAACCTAGTGACAGTATTACAATTGACAGGACAAGTCTCTGTGTTCATCTATAAAATTCCTACTAAAATAGACAATAACAATTATGCTATAGCACGGGAAGAAACTATAGATATCGATGGTTTTGTGATGCTCCAAGCACACATATAAATGAGACTCAAAAACATGCACTACAAATTACTAATCCTAAAATCAATGGCACACCAAAGATGTTACTGAACTTTGGATGGAGCACATGAATAATCTACAAAAGGGTCGTTCAACTTGGTATGGCCACAAGTGGAAAAGGGGAACTCAACTGCTCACTGCTTCTTAGAGGAAGGATGTATGCAAATGATAAAAGCTATTAATATCTCCCTCAACACAGGAGGGAGACTAAATCAGCATTAACATATCCATTGTACAAAACCTTACAAAACAAGTGTTCACAAGATAAATTGGGTTACCGCTAATCTAACATAAATATGAAAGACAATATAGAATAGCTGGGAAAATACAGAACATTACTCAGGAAGAGATAGGGGGAAAACTGCCATTTTACATAAAGAATTAGAAAACAATAAAATATACTTGATGTACCCATGGTAGCGGATGAAAGGTGGCTACACGGAATACCCCAACCACGTTCCTTCTTGCCACTAGTTAAATATTCCTTTGTAGTTCCAGTCGAGTACAAGGGAAACTGGAAAACATGGGACCCACTAATCTCACTTAGAAATGCTGAAAGGGACTAAACATGGTCATGGATAGGGACACGTATGGAAACAATTTGAGCAAATCATCAGTGGTCTATGAGGCAGAGGACAATGGAAGTGCGGTGTAGAACTTGGAACCAGTATTACCGTTCCAAGAAACCTTGGGGCCATGCTTACATTGTATCCCCTGCAGTCACTGACATTGACTGAGCCGGCCTGCAGATAGCACAGCTGACACCCAATGACCATAGCAATTCATTCCCCTTTCAAATGATAATCTAGAGACTCTGAGAATTCAGAGGTTTCTTCACAGGGCATCCTCATTAGGGCTCAAATCCCAGCTGTCAATATCTCATTTAAAAGGGGTCATGGTTAAGCCCAGACGCAGTGTGCTCTGGGCAAACACGTGTTCTGTGCACTGTAGATTATGGGAGGCAGTTGTTCCTGGCCTAGGTACAATCAGGCCATACTTGTGTGTGTGTGTGTGTGTTGCATGTTCCAATGTCCATGGAGCCTGCTCATGTGTCTCATTTCTTCGTCCAGATAGTCCCACCTAACTTCAGCCTCTTTGAGGTGGTCCTCGAGATGTGGAAGCAGTGGTCCGCTGCTGTGCAGATGGAGGTGCGGCCATGGGCTTCTTATTCCCAAGGACACACACTAGGCTTCCTTCCACACATCCTCCCATCCTCTGCTCTCTTGAGACTGCTCTTTGCCACCCAGGAGCAGCACAGGTCCGTGTGCCATAACCTGGCTCAGATGTTCTCAGCACTCCAGGTTGCCAGCCATCGTTATGATAAGCTCAAGGAAACAAAGAGGTGCCTCTCCAATACCTCCAGTCTAGGACCCAGAGCAGGGGCATATTTCGCTCGACCATAGCACCCAGGTGTCCAGACCTTGTGGTCCTTCTAGGAGCAGGGACTGTTCTCTACGACATCCATCCTAGCCCTCCTCGACTCTCCCTTCCCAGACTGGCCCCTCTGAAGTTTATTCCACATGCACCCCTCACCTCCACCCCAGCGGAGCCGTTCTCCGTCATATGGTAATGCCCCTCACTTAGGACTTTCCAGGCCATAGTCAGCCTTCAGGTACTAGCTCCACCCGTGTCTTCTTTCCTTTTCAATTTACCATATTGTGGCTAGCTCTTTCATCTTTGAGACATTCGCCCATACCTTGTTTATCTCACCAGTACCTTCGGAAATATTCTCGGAACTGAACTCTCAGACCGCTGGGCTCCAATGACCTTTGTTATCCCAGATATCTATCACATTGCCTCCACCTCTAAAGCTACACCTCTATCCCGCTGGTGTTTTTCCCTTACCACCACATTCATTAATTCAGCAACTACTCCCTGATGCGGCCTAATTGTCCAATCTCTAGTGGGTGCTGTGACCTCCAGTCACCCCAGAGACATCGCTCTGGCCCTTCAGACTACCGAGCCCTTCTTTGTGGGGAGCAAACTTTTCCTGCCCTTTCGAAGCTTTTCAATTATTTGTTAATAAACATTTACACAGGAACGACCACCCTCCCTTCCCTTGCCCATTCAGCTTCAAGGCTGGCCCTTTCCCCCCAAGACCAGACTCTGTCTACCAGAGTCCATCCACCGAACTTCTCAGCTGCTTGTGAGACCCAGAGACCCCTCCTTCTTCCCTCTTCCCACTCTCCTTGCCCAAGCGAACCCGAAGCCAGTGGTTCCGTTGCTGAGCACAGCACCCTCCTCCCCAGCCTCTGCGGAGTCACTTCCTCCAGCCGGGGCCGGCCCACCCTCTTCTCCCCGCCCACAAGAGCTGAGCCGAGGTCTCCGCATCGGACCCGGGGCCACCTCGCCATGGCCGACACGTACGCCGTGGTGCAGAAGCGTGGCACCCTCGTGGGTCCCGGGCCAGAGGCAAGCGCGTACGGTGCCGAGGCAGAGCCTCTTTACAGCCAAGTGACACCGCGCGCCCAGAGGCTCCGGGACACCCCGGCTGACGCGGGACCCGCGGCGGAGGACCCGCAGCGCACAGCCCCCGGTCTGGGTGAGTCCCCCGAGGGCGGGCGGCCAGGCTGCGGGAAGCCCACACCCTCCCTACTTTCTGGGGCTCTCTGTCCTGCCACCACTCGGAGGACGAGAGACCGTCCCGCGAAGAGCAGGACCTCTTGCTTGGGGTCTGGTCTGGTCACTCCCCGAGGCTGAGATCAGGGTCACCCTCCCTGGAGGTTCTGCTTGTGACATTCAGGACCCCCTAGCCACACCACGGAAATTCCTCTAGACCTGACTGCGGTGTCAAAGCTAGATGCCAGTTTGGGGTTGTTGTTTTGTACCTGGTTAGGCTGCTTTGCCTGGGGGCATGCCCCAAAGGCGGATGTCCTAGTCTTGGCCACACCCCAAACGCTTTGCACCTCCCCAGGGGACTGCTCTGGCTCCACTTCCTTCCCCCGCGGGCTCCCTCCACCCTTGGTGGGGTCGCAGGCTCCAAGGTGGGGTCTAAGCCGGGTCTTGGGGCTCTTCTGCCACAGCTCCTGCGAACCACGGCCCCGCCTGGCCAGGCGCTTATGAAGATGTGGTGGACGGGATCCAGGCCAGTGGACTAGGTAAGTCACACAGAGCTTCGCGTCGCAGCGACCCTTCCCAGCTTTAAGGTAGAGCCCGGAACGCTGGGATTTAGGAGTTGGGGCCCGTGTTTTTGGAGTCTCGGAGGTGTCAGGCTAGAGTAACCCCAGAGGGCGCTGAAGCACGCGGATGCCTCCATGCCTCAGCCTCCTCCGATGTCTCAGGGTTTCGGTGACCCACGGTGGCCTTCCTCTCCCAGGCTTCAACCTGCGCATTGGAAGACCGAAGGGACCTCGGAACCCGCCTGCCCAGTGGACTCAGGTGTGAATGGAGCGGCCGGCCGTGCCTGCTGGGGCCTCACGTTACTGCCCAGACTGCTCCGCCAACTGCCAATGGTCTTTTTTTGTGTGAAATGTTGGGAATAGGGATCTTGAGCCTGGATCAAAATAAAAGTTTCTAAGAGTGGGGAATATGGGGGCGTTGCCTCAATAATTGTGTCCTAGTTGAGAGGACTGCACCCAGCAGATTCAAGCAAGAAAATCAAGAATGGGCCTAAACCCAAGGGACTACATGAGCACAGTCCCCAATTTTGAGGGGGAAATGGCTAGCTTGGTCTTTGGGGGACTGCCTTCCATCATCACACTGTGGATTAGTCTCACCTCAGTATCTGATGGCCCATCACTCAGACAGTAAGATGTCCACGCAGAGTGATGAGTGGATCTAAGAACGACAGCCATCGAAACAGGTTCAAGCCACCATAACCACAGCTAATTAGACTGACCCTTGTCTGATGAGCAAATATCGCTGCACAGAGACAGACAAATCTCAGAGCTGCACAGACAGACAGCCTCCTTCTGAGGTGCAGGCTACAGATAGGTGGATGGACTCCCAACTGAAGAGATAGAACAACCAACAGCGTGACAGCCCGACCGCAGAGAGATTGCCAAACAGATAGCATCCTTAAACGATAGACTCCTTAGTTAAGGACATGGAGGGGACCCAATCTGACCTCCTTTGGCTTCCCTATTATCACAAGGCAGAGGTTAGACATGCCTCCACACTCCATCCTTTTTACCTCTTCTGACCAACCAAGCAGCAAGAAACAGTCTAAAAAAAGGAAAGAAAGAAACAGTTCCCGTCCAGATAAGACATCAGATCAGACAATTCCATAGCTGACAAACAAAAGCAAATTTACCCATGATGCTCCAAAACTATTATCCTATTCTCTAGGCTCCCTCCTAATACATACGGTCTTCCCAAACAGATATCTGTCTGTTCTCCCTGGCAGTCTCTAAGCTATTCCTTCCAATCCACTGCCCCCAGGCTGTTGTCAAATCATCCTGTATCTATGATATGCAAGCCTCAGCCTGCTATCTGTGCAGACACATTTATGATGAGAATTCATTGAACCGGTGTATATGTAAAGTGCTTTGTTCAAGGTCTTGCACTGTGTTCAATACATGCTACGACGTAGTCAGCTCTGATGCTGTGCTCAGTGTCCATCCTAGAACATGTCATTTGCCCTTTGGGGGGATTGGGAAAATCAAGAATAAAGTTATTTTCATTAATTTCAACAGTGTGTTTGCTTGCAATAACATGTTGTGACATTCTGGTCTCTGCAGTAGAAACAACAAGTTGAAATCAAGAATTGCAGAGGGACATAGGAATTCTCCAGCTTAACAGAAACAGGAAGCCC